ACAGCTTTTCTTTCAGACTTTTATTTCAGCAGTTTACTTAAACAAATGTCCAATTGCTGAATGGGTCATTTTGTGTAGCTGAAAAACCTTTGAAAACAAGAAAGATGCATTTAGAACTTGCAGGTTATCAAGATAAATAAAGCATGTAAACAATACACTTGTTTGGCAACTGCTGCCTTAATTGAATATGTTACAAATGGGCAGACTAAGCACAGAAATATCCAAACATGAAAACATTTCTTTGAACCCAAGCTCTTTTAAAAACTCAGCAGATTTAATTAACTGGACTTTACTAGAAATGTTTTTAACAAATCAAATTAATTATATCTAAACAAGAACATATTATTTCCTCCATTTTAGAAAGTATTCAACCAATGAAACCAGTTTTTATTAGCAATGTTTTTAATAAATCAAACGAATTCTTTGTAACAAGAAAGATTATTTCCTCCATTTTAGCAGGAATATTCAGTGGATTAAATTAACAGGATTGTATTAGAAAGGTTTTTAGTAAATCGAAATTAATACTTTTTAAGAATAAATATTTTATTGTATTTATATATTTACTGTTCTTCTTCAATTCAGTTTATTTAACCTCCTAAAATCGTATTCCTTTTACCACCTATCAGAGTAGGCTAAATGCAGGATGTGTTAGTCCTTATTTTACCCTTTTGACAATAAATAACAGAGCGTCTAAGCTCAGAATGTCACTGCCGGAGTGCACCGGAACGAACGACACTATCATAGACAAATGCCCACACACACACGCCCTGGCGACCGGACATATTCTTCATAAAACTAATGATATGGCGTAATAATCGGGCAGTTCGATGTGTCTTACCATAAGAAAGTATCTTGTGCGAACGAGAAAGTATCTTGTGCGAACGAGAAAGTATCTTGTGCAAACGAGAAAGTAGGCTTGTTTGAGACGAGCTGCGGCTCGCCTCGAAAGTAGACGAGAATAGCCGATCGCAGCCGGGGGAGGTCTCAAAAAGCTCGCCTGAAGTCGGACAGCTCGATGGATACCCCATTCACATACCCCATTCACACCAACGGTGTTTCGGGGCCGGTTCGGTACTGGTGCTTGAAAAGCACCGGGTTTTCCTGTTCACACCGCAGCGGAGCAGCCTCTAAGCTCCGGAATCCGGTTCGTTTCGAGCACCAAAAAGTTGTCCGTGTAGAAGCAAGAACCGCATACGTCACGCTTACGTCGGAGGGGGGCGAGATTAACCTGAGATAACAGTTAAGGCGAGTACGGCAAATAAAAGTTGTAACCAGCAGTAGTGCTGAGCAAAGTGACTAGAACGCAACCACACACTTGTAAAAAAAAAACACACTTTATAAAGTCAGGCAACACTAACCAGGCTTCGTGTGATTCTGTTTATTTGTACCTTACTTTGACCATCCGTTCGCTGTTATTGATCATTGTGGAGAGCAGGCAGACGTTTGTTATTATAGCAGCTATCGGATGGAATCAATACATGGGCTGCACAGGTTGTCATGTCCGACTATCACAAGTAGAATCATAATGAAAAATACGCCGGTAAAATGTGCCTGTAGAAAACGGCTTAGCAAGTAGTCAGTTTAGCTTCGGTTGCTATGCTAACATCACCCATGTTATACCAGAGAAACTTTCATAACAGCGTTGTGATGCCAAACAGCGTCAATTCAGACTGACACCAAACAGCGTCAATTCAGACTGACACACATTCACTTAAGGGGAACTGGGGATATGTATCAGCTGCTTGTGTGACAGTCAGACAGTGAATACTTGAGAGCCGTGTGAGCTAACCCGGAGAATAAACTCCCGTTGAAGAGCAGCTAGCACTGCAGCGGTCGCTAAATGCCGCTGAAACACATTAATAAACAATGAACCACGGCACTCTGGAGAAAAGTATAAGGTTGGAGAAGTCGTTATTTAATTTAATCTGGCTTCGTATGATTAAAAGCAACACGGTCATCGACCCGTTGTTGTTGTGAGGTGAGCTCCGTTGGGGAGAAACTCAGCGACGTAAACTGTGACGTCATGACGCAGCAGCGGCAGCACCAGTCGGGCTCTGAGCGGTGTGAACAGAGCTGGCGCTAAACCGAAGAACCGGTTCTGAACCAGAAAAGCTCTAGCACGGAGCTAGAAGGGGAAAAGCCTTGGTGTGAAAGGGGTCGGCTTCTTCTTCTTCTTCTTCTTCTTCTTCTTCTTCTTCTTCTTCTTCTTCTTCTTCTTCTTCTTCTTCTTCTTCTCTCGTTTTTTTGGCGGATTTCAAACAACTTTAAGGTGCATACTGCCACCTCCGGAGTCGGCTTGACTCGGTTTGCATTTATAAATGCACACGGCATCTATTGCACGTCTGTCCGTCCTGGGAGAGGGATCCCTCCTCTGTTGCTCTCCCTGAGGTTTCTCCCATTTCCCCTTTAAACTGTGGGGTTTCTCTGGAAGTGTTTCCTTGTATGATGTGAAACGTAAGGACAGAGGGTGTCGTATTGTCATACTGATATTCTGTACAAACTGTGAAGTCCACTGAGACAAATGTAACATTTGTGATATTGGGCTATATAAATAAACATTGATTGATTGATTGATAAAGAATGGACAAATGTGTTTAATCGTTAATGTCAGATATGTACTAAGTAAATATATTTGTTCCTGCTCAAGATTAGATTAAACTTTATTGTTATTGCACAGATTACAGGTACTGAGACAACGAAATGCAGTTTAGCTTCTAACCAGGAGAGCAACAAGCAGTAAAGTGAAAAGTAATGTACACAATCTACAGAATAAAATATAGAATGAATTGAATGATGAATAAACAGTGAGGGGTATGAATACACTATACACAGTAGCCTAGCCTAGTATGAACAGTGTGTATGAATATGCTAAGATATATAAAGTATGACAACGGTAAGCAGTGCAAGTATAGTATAAAATATATAGATATTAATGTCATGATAATAAACATTGTGGAACAATGATGAAAAATGTGAATGGAAGTGGCGACGTAAAACTGACACAAAACAACAACAAACTTTTGCCGAGCCAATGGAGAGTTTCATCTCCAGCACGGGGTAAAACCCACCAATGAGCGCTCAGCTCGAGATACCAGCGAGTCGTTTCCCATCAAGCATTTCGCTTCCGCAGCCCGTGGAGAGAAACTGCGCCGCGCCTCGCTCTCAAGTCTGCGGGCGTCTTTGTCCCGCGAGATTTCAACGTCTCATGTTGGCGAGCCTCCAGAGCAAGTCGGACAAAATGACTAACCATCATGCAACGCACTAGCAAGACGTTGATCGCAATTGCGCAGGTCTGCGCAGGTCTCGCTTGTCTCAAACAAGCCTAATATGTCGTGCGCACGAATTAATAAAACGTGGCCTCGTTTAAAAAATGTTTCTCTCTATGGGTGCGTTTCACTTCGGTTAAATGGATTCCTTGCGTCCCTCACTTGCGTTGTTTCCCTGCGTCTAGTCCCTCCCACCAGGGAAGCATGGAGAGACGCAAGGAAACCACGAGAAGCAGGGAAATTAGTTTTAAGAGCAATGGGACGTCGTTTCCTCCGGAGCGTCACGTGAAGCGACGTCCGTTTGTGATGACGCCACACAGCTGATCGTATGACAGCAGCCAGATCAGTGCATGCGCTGCATCATCCAATCAGTGAGCGATACACAGTAAGGGGGCGGGGCGAGTGTCTGAGGATTTCACCGGAGGATGGTCTGGTAGTCCCTCGGTTATCGCTCCTCCATTATCGCTCCTCGCTCCTCGCTCCTCGCTCTTCCGGCAAAAATAAGGCCACTGGGACGCTACTCAAGATGGCTCAGACAAATCAACTTCCGGTGAGACCGAGACCGAGGAGCGAGGAAATGAAAAACAACCGAAGTGAGACGCAACCTATGAACCCTCCAGGGCTCCGTATCTGTCTCAAAGTTGAGGAGAAGCACCTTTTTAAATAAGATGAACGACGGTCACCTCTCGGGAGTGGTTCAGTCTGTAGGGGATTGGACTTTGGACCGAAGGGTCGCCGGTTCACGTCCCCCGATCGGACCAAAAAAATACGGAGTGTGGACTGGTACTGGAGAGGGGCCAGTTCACCTCCTGGGCCACTGCCAAAGTGCCCTTGAGCAAGGCACCTAACCCCCAACTGCTCACTGGCGCCGGCTAGACTGCCTGCCTCCGCTCTGACCTCTCAACTGCATGTGCATGTGTGCATATAACTGTGTGTGTATTTGTATATGTATGTGCATGTGTACCTGTATAAAAACGCATGTGTGTGTACGACAGAGTGGAAACTGAATTTCCCCCCATCTTCTTCTTCTTCTTCTTCAAACTGATGCTAACTGTTTCTGTGCATATACCAACGAGAGCTATAAAAGCAAAGTAAATATTATCTCACAAATAAAACCAAACAAAAGTTTGACCTCAGTCACAAAATATGACCTTTGAACCTTTGTTAACAAGTGTTATTGAATTGTTAATGCATTACACATTTTAATTCACATCTGCAGGAAGTTAATAGAGTTACTGTAAAACACACATATTATGCTAAATTTCTTTAAAAGTGAGCAGTGGGTTTGAGAGTAGGGTTCTACTTTTTTTTTGTTTAGTCTTTTTTTTTAGCAGAGAGCTTAAACTCATCACTGCATCTGATTGGAAAACATCCAAATGGCAATTGTGATGGTTGCCAACAACCAGAGACAATACATCATGTATTTTTTAGCTGCCCGGATTATAACAGACAAAGACTCATTCTGAAAACTGCACTGGAACAACTCAACGTCAAGGACATGGATTTCAAGTCAATATATGAAAGTAAATCAAGAAATGAAGCAAACAAGCTGATCTTCAAATTCCTCAAAAGCACTGGTCTGAGGACAAGGATTTAGTATAAACATTTAATAAACCAACAGTAGGTGGCGATATATGCTCCAAGTGGAAGCGATTCGCCATTAAAGAAAAGAAGAAGAAGAAAGCTAATGCGGAAGTGGGTTTGATAAACGCTACACGCTCCCTCTAGCTGCCGGTTAACAAGGAAACGTGTTCAGAGTCTGAACTTCAGACTCACTCGCTCCGCCATGGCGGCTCTAACATCTGCCCAACATGTCTTCATGTTCCTGTGGATTATGGGCTCTGTGGCTGCAGGAGGTGAGGGGGTGGGTGTGTGTGTGTGTGTGTGTGTGTGGTGTGTGTGTGTGTGTGTGTGTGTGTGTGTGTGTGTGTGTGTGTGTGGTGTGTGTGTGTGTGTGTGTGTGTGTGTGTGTGTGTGTGTGTGTGTGTGTGTGTGTGTGTGTGTGTGTGTGTGTGTGTGTGTGTGTGTGGATATGTATATCTATATATAGATATAGATATATAGATATGTATATATATTAGGGCTGTCAGTCAATTAAAATAGTTAATCGCGATTAATCGCAAATTAATCGCACATTTTTTATCTGTTCTAAATGTACCTTAGAGGGATATCTTTCAAGTTTTTAATACTCTTATCAACATATGAGTGGACAACTATGCTTTATATGTTTGTTTATTATCATTTGAACAATGACAAATATTCTCATGAATATTAAACACAACAACCTGAACATTACAAATATTCGCCTCAATTCAACCTGGAACCTCTCTCATACAATACTGTGTGTGTGTGTGTGTGTGTGTGTGTGTGTGTGTGTGTGTGTGTGTGTGTGTGTGTGTGTGTGTGTGTGTGTGTGTGTGTGTGTGTGTGTGTGTGTGTGTGTGTGTGTGTGTGTGTGTGTGTGTGTGTGTGTGTGTGTGTGTGGTGTGTGTGTGTGTGTGTGTGTGTGTGTGTGTGTGTGTGTGTGTGTGTGTGTGTGTGTGTGTGTGTGTGTGTGTGTGTGTGTGTTGTGTGTGTGTGTGTGTGTGTGTGTGTGTGTGTGTGTGTGTGTGTGTGTGTGTGTGTGTGTGTGTGTGTGTGTGTGTGTGTGTGTGTGTGTGTGTGTGTGGACCACTGTGATGGATCGTTGGAGCTATGTGCAGCTCAAGGCATATATGCTCGAATGGGAGCTGCCTGGACGCTGCAATCATGTTGCGCGTACTGTCCGTGCTGAGTGTGCTGACTTTTCGTACAATGTCCCACTGTCTGGCTACCTGCATAAAGTCAAGTGCTCGGCGCAGTTGTCGGCGAAATGTCATTGAAACAGCTCCTTATATCCGTTAGCGCAGCTAGCTAGCACCAGATGCTAACAACAACACGACGTAAGGTGTGCCTCGCTCGCGCGAGTCGCGCCACACATACACACTCCCTCCCGGTCCTCCCGATGGCCAGTCCGGGCCTGCCAGTGAGCGTGGAAGTGTGGTCTGCCACACTTCGGGCAGGAGGAGCGGGGCTGTCAGCATCAGCTTGTCGATGGTATTTTAAACTCGATGCGCTCTGAAACTACGGCGGCCGAGGACAAAAAATACACATGCGTTAATCGCGTTAAAATAATTAGTGGCGTTAATTTTTTTTTGCGTTAACGCGTTATTAACGCGTTAACTTGACAGCCCTAATATATATATATATATCCTACTATAATGACTTTGTATACTGCAGGGTAGCTTGTGGATTTACTCCAGGTGGAACTAAAGTCTGATTTAACACTTGATTATATTTCACATCATTCATCCACATCTGTGAAGTAACTAAAGGTATTAAATACATGTAGTGGAGGAAAAGTAGCATACAATGTAAATACTCAAGTAAAGTACAAGTACCTCTAAATTGTACAGAATTTGAGTAAATGTACTTAGTTACTTTACACCTCTGTGCATTGAATGTTATGTCATGTCCAGAGGTAAATACATATTTGTTATCAAAATTGTTGTACTATATATTACTACTGTTTTGTATACTGTTGGGTCCATATATAATAACAAGTATTTCATTTTAGAGCTTATTCAAATGTACATTACGCCCCTCCAAAACACTGCTGATGTCATTTGAGACGGAGAGTTGTGATTGGCTGAAACTGAACAAACACAAACTGACTCCCTGCTCGCTCCAGCCAATGGAGGCCAAGAGTCTTTCTCATTTCTAAATGAAGCCCTCCTCCAGCAGAGCTCTGACCCTCTGCTGTAACACCGACGTGCAGCCGCCTGGCAGGGGCTCAGTCAGTAGGGACTGGGAGCCGTAGGGTCGCCGGTTCAAGTCCCTGAACAGACCTTAATATGGAGTGTGGACTGCTACTTGGAGAGGTCCCAGTTCACCTCTTGCCCTGCCGTGGTGCCTTGAGCAAGGCACCGGACCCCCCCCCCCCATGTGCATGGCTTTTTTCCCTTTGTCGGACGAATAAAGGAATTCTACTTAAAATGAACTACAAGTGATAGTCCTGCATTCAACATCTTAAGTTAAAGAACAAAGTATGTGAAGTATATCAGACTTTAAAGTTTAAGAGCTGTGCCGTTTCAAACAGGAAGTAGAAATGTGCAGGTTGAGCTGATCACCGTTAAAGAAATGCTGCTGACTTTTGACTTTCTGTTTTTCTGTAGCTTTAGAGGCAAAGCCTGGAGAAGACGTCACTCTTCAGTGTAACAGTCACACAGATGCTGCTGTCGAAAAGTTGGTGTGGAGCAGACCTGGGCTGAAGGATGGTAACGTCTTCTTCTTCAGAGATAACCTGTTGAATGAAAACTACCAGGATCCACGTTATCATGGTCGTGTTGAACTGAAAGATCCACAGATGAAGAACGGAGACGCTTCTGTTGTCCTGAAGAACGTCGACTACGATGACTCTGGAACATACCAGTGTGAGGTTAGAACCTCCTCCGATAGCCGAAGGAAGAGAAAAGTGCCGGTGCAGTCCATCCATCTGATCGTCAGTAAAGGTGAATAATGACTAATGTTCTGCTCTCGTTCTTTAGCTGTGGTGAAAACAGAGGAAAGGCATTTTGAAGAACCAGACTCCAGTTCCCTGAAGTCACCCAGGAGTGGGAGATAGTGGACTGAGTTACTGTGTAGCACACATTATACAGAGGGTGATCACAGTATGAGTACTACCATACGAGTATATATGTAGCACACATTATACAGAGGGTGATCACAGTATGAGTACTACCATACAAGTATATGTGTAGCACACATTATACAGAGGGTGATCACAGTATGAATACTACCATACGAGTATATGTGTAGCACACATTATACAGAGGGTGATCACAGTATGAGTACTACCATACGAGTATATGTGTAGCACACATTATACAGAGGGTGATCACAGTATGAGTACTACCATACGAGTATATGTGTAGCACACATTATACAGAGGGCGATCACAGTATGAATACTACCATACGAGTATATGTGTAGCACACATTATACAGAGGGTGATCACAGTATGAATACTACCATACGAGTATATGTGTAGCACACATTATACAGAGGGTGATCACAGTATGAGTACTACCATACGAGTATATGTGTAGCACACATTATACAGAGGGCGATCACAGTATGAATACTACCATACGAGTATATGTGTAGCACACATTATACAGAGGGTGATCACAGTATGAATACTACCATACGAGTATATGTGTAGCACACATTATACAGAGGGTGATCACAGTATGAGTACTACCATACGAGTATATGTGTAGCACACATTATACAGAGGGTGATCACAGTATGAGTACTACCATACAAGTATATGTGTAGCACACATTATACAGAGGGCGATCACAGTATGAATACTACCATCATCAGCATGTGACTGCAACTTGTTCCTGTTCGCTGACGACTCAGCCCTGCTGGTCTCTGACAGGAGCAGATTGCAGGTTGAAAAAACCCTCAGCTCCGAGCTCGGCAGAATCTGCACCTGGCTCGCCGATAATAAATTATCATTACACCTGGGTAAAACAGAGTCCATTCTCTTCGGTTCGAAACATAATCTCAGCAAATCCGACGACTTCTCAGTTGCAGTGGGTGACATTATTGTCACAAGTAAGAAGGAAATTACATACCTAGGATCTATTCTTGAGGCAAACCTCTCCTGTGACAAAATGGCATCCAATGTAATAAAAAAAGTCAATCAAAGAACTAGATTCCTATACCGGATCTCCTCTCTGGTAAACAAAAGCACCCTGAAAACTCTGGCAGGAGCACTCATTCAAGGGTACTATGACTATGCCTGCACGTCATGGTACCATAGCACCTCCAAGGCGCTAAAAATAAAACTTCAAACATCGCAAAATAAACTGGTCAGACTACTGCTTGACCTTTCATCTAGAATCCACCTCACCTCTGCCCACTTTGACAACCTAGGATGGCTTAGAGTAGACGACAGAGTACAGCTACTTGCAATGGGCCTGGTCTACAAGATCCACTACACCTCTATGGTACCCATGTACATGTCAAAATTCTTCCCAAAGGTCAAGGAATACCATGATCATAACACCAGAGGGAGCTCCACAAATCATGTAAAACCCAGATTTGGCACAAAAAAAGGGGAATACACGTTTCGCAATTATGCCACATCAAGGTGGAACGCTCTTCCCACAACTGTAAAGGAAAGTAAAACTATACTTACCTTCAAAACCTCTCTTAAAGAGCACCTTCGGGGGAAAGCATTGCAAAACTGGCCCCGGTAATGGTACAAATCTCAACCTGTCGTACAATGGACAGCTTCCCCCCCCCCATCTATGTATATACTCGCATTTTAGACTCTGTTACTAACTGTATATCTGTAGACTTGGTATGTCTTAAATGTCCGGTTAGGATGTATTAGAACGAAATCTAAAATGAAAATTGTAAATAAGCCATCTGTATGTAAAAAACCACCTGTATGTAAATTGTAAATAAGCCATCTGTATGTCAAATATGTCTTATATGTCTTAAATGATATGATGAATTGGAAATGGGGGACCCTGATGTAAACAAGACGAAAGTCTTTCTCTGGTCTGCATCCCCTTAACAATTGTATGTTTTGAGCTGTACTGTACTGTACCCAATATACAAGCTGTTAATAAACTTTTCAATCAATCAATCAAACCATACGAGTATATGTGTATCACACATTATACAGAGGGCGATCACAGTATGAATACTACCATACGAGTATATGTGTAGCACACATTATACAGAGGGCGATCACAGTATGAATACTACCATACGAGTATATGTGTAGCACACATTATACAGAGGGCGATCACAGTATGAGTACTACCATACGAGTATACGTGTAGCACACATTATACAGAGGGTGATCACAGTATGAGTACTACCATACGAGTATATGTGTATCACACATTATACAGAGGGCGATCACAGTATGAATACTACCATACGAGTATATGTCTAGCACACATTATACAGAGGGCGATCACAGTATGAATACTACCATACAAGTATATGTGTATCACACATTATACAGAGGGCGATCACAGTATGAGTACTACCATACGAGTATATGTGTAGCACACATTATACAGAGGGCGATCACAGTATGAATACTACCATACAAGTATATGTGTATCACACATTATACAGAGGGCGATCACAGTATGAATACTACCATACGAGTATATGTGTAGCACACATTATACAGAGGGCGATCACAGTATGAGTACTACCATACGAGTGTATGTGTAGCACACATTATACAGAGGGTGATCACAGTATGAGTACTACCATACGAGTATATGTGTAGCACACATTATACAGAGGGTGATCACAGTATGAATACTACCATACAAGTATATGTGTAGCACACATTATACAGAGGGTGATCACAGTATGAGTACTACCATACGAGTATATGTGTAGCACACATTATACAGAGGGCGATCACAGTATGAATACTACCATACGAGTATATGTGTAGCACACATTATACAGAGGGCGATCACAGTATGAATACTACCATACGAGTATTAGGGATGGGAACGATTAATAGAATATTCGAAATTATTCGAATATGAGTTATGAATATTTTTATTATTTTTATTTATTTTTTGGGAGGGATGCCTAAATTGATTACATATTATCAAATTGAATAATTCAATGTATACGACAGTGCCATAGCTAAATGTGTTAGGTGACGTCTAAAGGTGTGTTTTGCTCCGCTCACCGGTCCCTCACAGCGGGCAGAGCTGCAGGTGCTGATCTCTCTCTCTCGCGTCCGGTACTTCAATCGCGTTTATGTCCAAATCCATCAGATCTAGCTAGTTCTAGCTAATGATATGGCTGCTGCGCCTCCCTACACGCAGATCACGCAGACTCAAACCTCATCTTATGCCCAAATGCGCTCCGCAGCCGTTGCGAGGTTCCGGCGCTAACAGTTCATGAGCGTGCTCCCCCGCCCCCTGTCAACACTCTCGACACATGAGTGGCCAGCCTAAACAACAATAAGCGCTGCTTGGCAACCGTGTGTGGCGGCAAAGTACATAGACAGTTTGACATGAGAGATTTAGTTTTGGCGGTATTCAACATATTTTACCAGTCATAGTCCGGTAATTATTTACACTCTAAGAAGAGTCCTACACAACAGACATGGCGTCAAAAAGGAGTAATGTGTGGAAATATTTCGACCAGGTTAGTGAGTGCGGTGTAGAGTGCAAACTATGCCAAATTAAACTTATATATATACATACTATACCTTGCTATACCCGCAACCTCCGTTCCAGCTGAGAGGGTCTTCTCTACAGCTGGCCTGATTGTGAATCGCCTCCGCACATGAAAGCTGTAGGCCTATAGCTGTCAAACTGTGATCACCAGTTCAATACATTTGACAAATTCGTCTTGGTTTCTATACTTATTTGAACATGTATTTATTTATTTCCAAAAGTTATTGAAATAATTTTTTTCGAAAAAGAATTTTAGAATCTTTTTTTTACCCAATTTTTTTTTTTATAGGATATGTACATTTCGGTTAACCGTTTTTTGGGGGGTCGAATATTCGAATATACATTTGCTTTCAAATTCCCATCCCTAACGAGTATATGTGTAGCACACATTATACACAGGGTGATCACAGTATGAGTACTCAGTGGCGTTTTTATATGTACAAAAGTGGTGGGGCACAAAAAACGTAGATGTCTATATATAAGCTTCTGCAGTGACGTGCAGTGAGGTTCATGGCTGCTGAGGCACTGGCACCGACTCTTCAGGTTTACAAATATTATATTTTGACCTAAACCAAAATATAATATTATTTTCAAAAGCTTTTTTTTGTCTGATGCTTCGATTAATTTTAAACAGACAGTTCAACAAAAGGATACCCAAAAAATGTCGTTTTATCATTTAAATATTGAATTGTTCTCTCTTAGTAAGATCCCATTTTCAATAAAATGGCGCTCTTACCTTGACTTGAAGATGAAGTCCATTTGCCTATCCTTCTGGACAAACATTTCTATTACTTTTTTGTAAAAGTCCTCCTTATCTTCTTGTAGTTTCAAAAGTCTATCATAAATCTAATCCATAGATTTATGATAAAAAAATTATATAAGTAGGGTAGACATGTGGATGTTATCCGGCTGAACAAAACGTGCATTTATCTAACAGGTACGTTTCCCACAGATCTTATTTGGAGCTATTTTCTAAAATCCTCTGGAGAAATCTCATTGTTTTTTTGTGCTTACTTCCTGGTTTTAGGACGCGTCACTGCAGCTCTCTCGTCTCCTCTTCACACAGCACACTTTTCGCGGCACACGTACTTACAGCCAATCAGCTCTGAATGATGTGAGATGACGTATGGTGGGGATGGTAGCTCCGTGCCCCTCTGGTCATTATTTTTTTGCCACACACATTTCATTACAAAATACTCTGAGCATGCGCAGTGTAGTTTTTACAGTCACCGTTGACTTCACAGCGAGAGGAAGGGGCATAATCAGGTTTTGTCCCACATGGCTCTAAACAGCTCAATAGGCACACACTGTGACTGTAGACACACTAACTAGAAGAACACAGACTAAAACAGCAATGTACAGACGAATCAGATGATTAAACATGATCTTAAAATATATTTTATATATTTTTTTATTTATTTTTTTGCATTTTTGTAATCATTATTTGTAATACTTTCTGCTGACACTCGGTGGGGCTGTGCCCCACCTGCCCCTAATGACCAGTCGCCACTGTGAGTACTACCATACGAGTATATGTGTATCACACATTATACAGAGGGCGATCACAGTATGAATACTACCATACGAGTATATGTGTATCACACATTATACAGAGGGTGATCACAGTATGAATACTACCATACGAGTATATGTGTAGCACACATTATACAGAGGGTGATCACAGTATGAATACTACCATACGAGTATATGTGTAGCACACATTATACAGAGGGCGATCACAGTATGAGTACTACCATACGAGTATATGTGTAGCACACATTATACAGAGGGTGATCACAGTATGAGTACTACCATACGAGTATATGTGTAGCACACATTATACAGAGGGCGATCACAGTATGAATACTACCATACGAGTATATGTGTAGCACACATTATACAGAGGGTGATCATAGTATGAATACTACCATACGAGTATATGTGTAGCACACATTATACAGAGGGCGATCACAGTATGAGTACTACCATACGAGTATATTGGCGCATTTCCACTACACGGTCGGCCTCGGCCACACTCGGTACGGCTCGGTACGGCTTGGCCGCGTTGGGCCTTAACAGGGCCGACTCACTTCATGCTGCGCTTCCATTACAGTTTAGGAACTGGGGTAGTTACTATAGTAACGCAGTGTAGGCGGAGCCGTGACGTCATCTTCAATGAGAAATCCAGAAACACAACACAGCCGTTAGCTGTTAGCACTCAGAGCTCACAGCTCCTCATATATGTTCAGAAACTAGACAAAAGTTAAACAAGTACAAACCACAGACTGCCTGTGTCATGGTGAATACAGTCGCTGCTTTATTTATGTCTGTATAGGCCGTTGTTGTGAGTGTGGACGGTCGGAGCATATACTGCGTTAGCTTAGCCAATCTCCATTTAGACAACGCGCATTTTAAAAGGTTTTTCGCCTGCCGTCTGTCTGCAGACTTGACAAAGCATTAATTCATGGTTTTTACTAACCGGTATCAGTATGTTGTTACTTCGGCATCATTTTGAAACGTGTATTACAATTAAATCACGGTCAAATATGTCCATCTTGTTGTAGTTCTAGCCCTCTTGCCAGCGCTCCTCTCTCTAGTTTAGCATACTCAGCCCGACTCAGCCCTGTTTGTTGGCCCCGATAGAACCACAATTTTCTAGGGCCAGAAAAGAGGTGAAAAAGTGGCCCCGCGCCGTGCCGCGCCGGTAATTGGCCTAGTGGAAGCACAACCAAAAAAGGGGACGGCACGACACGGCACGCTTAAAGCGAGCTCCGCGCTGCAGTGGAACTGCGCCATATGTGTATCACACATTATACAGAGGGTGATCACAGTATGAATACTACCATACGAGTATATGTGTAGCACACATTATACAGAGGGTGATCACAGTATGAATACTACCATACGAGTATATGTGTATCACACATTATACAGAGGGCGATCACAGTATGAGTACTACCATACAAGTATATGTGTAGCACACATTATACAGAGGGTGATCACAGTATGAGTACTACCATACGAGTATATGTGTAGCACACATTATACAGAGGGTGATCACAGTATGAGTACTACCATACGAGTATATGTGTAGCACATGAAATACATATTATATATCTGAATGTATAGTGGAAGAGATGTGACCTGTAAAACAATAGATTTTGTGCACAAACTAGCAGAATATTCTAAGGACCGTTCGAGGTGAGCTGATCACTGTTAAAGAAATGTTGGTGACTTTCTCCTTTCTGCTTTTCTCCAGATCCAGGAGAGGTGAGGGCAAAGCCTGGAGAAGACGTCACTCTTCAGTGCAACAGTCCCACAGATGCTGACATCACAAAGATAAAGTGGGAAAGACCTGACCTGAAGGGTCATGCTGTCTTCTTCGTCAGAGAAAACAGGCCGTATGAAAAATACCAGGATCCACGTTATCACGGTCGTGTTGAGCTGAAAGATCCAGAGATGAAGAACGGAGACGTTTCTGTTGTCCTGAAGAACGTCACCGTCAACGACACGGGAACGTACCAGTGTTGGGTTACAATTCCCACCATGCCAAAAGAACTGTTGCGCTCCGTCCATCTGATCGTCTCTGAAGGTGAGTTTGTGTTTTTCCATTGAGATGTTTAAAGATGATGCTGATGCTCTGTGATCGGTAGATAATGTCTGACATGAGACTGGAGAGGAAACAGATTCTGTTCTTCATCACCTTCATGATCAGCTGTTCTCCAACATGAGGGGAGGTCCAGTCGTTTCCTCACTGCTCTCTCTTTCTGTCCTCAGCTTCCAGTCCATTCCCTTGGTGGGCAGTTGCTTTGTTACTGGGTTGTCGTGTTGTTGTTGGTGGTGTTGCTCTTAGACCTTTTGTTTTTCTAAAACCTAAAAGTGTTCCTTTGTAGAGTTCAGATGAGTGTGTTGCTGAAGAAGTGAGTAAAGCACTCATCAATCACGCACCTCTAACACCCGACTGTCCTCCATCAACTGCTTCTGAACAAATAACAACTCCAAAGAGACCGTTCTGAGTATTTAGGGTTTATATATTGGACTCAGGAAAAAGTACTTAAAATACATGTTACCATAGTAACTGCACTTAAAACACATTTTGTTTATTAAAAGTACTGCTACTATCAATACATTGTATTTAAGTTGAAGTACTATCACTACTATATTATATTTAAACAATTTCCCAATTTGGGATCAATAAAGTACTATCTTATCTTATCTTATTACTTATTTGAAATACACCAATATATATATATATATATACTTGAAATACATGTTATTTAGGTAAATGCACTTACCTTTGAGAACATATTGAACATGAAAGTGCCTAAATCTGTCAATGTAAAGCTTGCTTTGTACTGTGTTAGGTATTCTTTGTTTTATATTAGATTTGTAGTTTTATATGGAGATTCTTTTTTTATATTTTATGTATGCACCACGACATCAAGTCAAATTCCTCGTATGTGTGAACCTGCAATAAACCCGTTTCTGATTTTGTAACATCTGGACACTGAAGTTCTTATTTTATATAAAATGTTTTCATGTGTTTATTGTATATTGTGCACATGTGTTCTTTGTGCTGAGCATTAGCTGCTAATGCTAACAGACCAAAGCCTCAGAGTTACGAAATATAATAATGCTTGTGACGTAGAAAATGATTTAAAGACATTTTATTGAAGCCAAAGTACTGTTACGTTAAAAAAAAGTATTTTAATCAAAGTTCTGTTACTTAAACATTTTATAAAAGTACAGAGGGAAAAAATGACAGATTGTTAAAACACTTCATCAGAAACATGGTGGAGGGTCATGTGACCATCAGACTCAGTCCTGATGGAGACGCCATCTTTGTAGAAATCATCAGAGGGGGGGTCGGCCATCCATCAGAGGCGTCCTCACATCTCAGAGAGACACGTTCTCCTCTGAATACCTGAGAGCTGCTGGGAGTCACCGTCAGACGAGCTGCAGGGAGTTATTGGAGTCTGAGTCAAACTTCAAAAATAAAACCCGTCCCAGAATAAAGTTCACAGCAGTATGGAGTCACTGATAAACCCTTTAGCTCGTTAGCTTCTGTCACGCTAACCTCAGGAGAAACTGGGTTATTGTTGGAGCAGAACACCTAGGGTGGTGGCTGAGAGCCCCCCCCTCTGCTACGCGCTGTTCGTTGGATGAGGCTGATCTCTATTTAATAAAGAAAGGAATTGAAAACACCGGAATCAAAAGTTATAACAATTATCTGAGTTTACTGGTAGGAAACAAAACACGTATACAAGTTTTACAGAGTACTCCGGACTTCAGGTTTGTGATGCGATGCGGATACAGGTATCGGGACCAACCACTCAGCAAACAAGAAGCATGGACTTCAGGTTTGTAATGCGATGCGGACACAGGTATCGGGACCACTCATCAAACAAGAAAGCATTTTACATACAAAAACAACAGTATTCATATTCATATTTTGGGGCGGAGATGTGTTTACTTCTTCCTTCCCATTTTACTCCGAAGCGAATTAGAGAGTCCGTGAGGAGGAGCTGTGTGAGCTGCTCACATCCCCCAGGTGTTTTTACTGGTTGGATTCACTTCTGGTCGGGTTCAATACAGCGAATCAGAGTTCTGACCAGAACGTGAGATTCTGAAGTTCCTCAAGGGCAAAGTCAATCTTATCTCTGCCCCGATATCCACTCCCTTACTTTCCCATGGGATCTTTCACATAAACTATTCCTTCTCAGACAATTAAACATTGCACACAAATATAATGATGCCCAGAAAGAACCTTGAAAAGAATATGTGTGTGTGTGCTTAGTGAAGGAGGTGTATGTGTGTGTAACAGGATCTCTGGGTCAGTGAGTTGTAAGTGAGAATATAATATCTATATATGTGATTACTTAAAACAGTTCAAACAATACATGTTCACTAAAATACAATTCAAAATAATACATGTTTACTTCAATACAGTTTAGAATCATATCTTTTTACTTCATTATCCAGCAGAGTGATAGAGTTTGACTGATTCAAGTAAATGGTTATAATTGTAACTACAGCTGCAGAATTAACCAAAGTGTTATCTAAATATCAATATTGACTCATGCTATATCCAAATAGCAGTGAAGACAAAATATGTGAAATATCTGAATGAGGTATTCTACAGACTTAATTAAAAAACCTTGTTAGTTTACAGAACCTCTTAAAAAAATCACACAATGATAACTTTAGTACATTTTCTATGATGTTGAGAATAATGATGCAAAAACTGAGATTTCCTCTGATATTGAAAATCAGTAAAAAATGACTGCATTCGTTCTCTTTTTCCAAATTGTGCAGCTTTCATGGTTATCTTTAGATTTGTTCCACGCCTCTAGCAGATATCATGCGTTATCTGTTGGTGTAATTATCAAAACTAAATGTTCATAATGAAGTACCTAAACTTAAACAGGAAGAAATATTCAACATATAGTTTGAGAAACTTTAAGCAGAAAGACAGAAATACCTCTATATGTTTTGAGTATAATAACCTCTGACTCCTCGACTCCTCGAATAAAATAAATTAAATAAATTAAATTAAATAAATAAATGTAATTATATATATTTAAATGTTTTAAATGTTTATATTTTATATTTGTTCATTGTTCTACTGTTTTTATTTCCACATAGTGTCCAGTGCCTTGCTTACCATGCTGCTGCTGAGATGGAAACACTTCAGCCTTAATTATCCCCCAGTAAATAAGGGTTATAACATTAAAGTAACCTTTTTATTTTCATTTAAGATTAATTTGAAAGAAAAGCTAAAACAGGCTCACCAGGAGTAACTACAGTCTGATTATAATGATTGATGCATTAAAGTATTCTCATCAAAATATAGTTAAAGTACACTAAAAGTAGTCATTGTGCAGATTGGTCCATTTCAGAATAATATATATGATATGTTTTATAATGATTGATCATTAACGTGTTCTCAAAGCTGGTGAAGTAACTAAAGGTATTAAATACATGTAGTGGAGTAGAAGTACACAGTAGCATACAATGTAAATACTAAATAAAATAAATATATCAAAATTGTATTTAAGTACAGTACTTGAGTAAATGTACTTCCAATAATCACCCAACCCCTTTTATTTCTACTTATTACCACAACTCGTGCTCTTCTCATTTAGTGTACGCTCAGTAAAAAGATAAATAGTTCTTTATTTTTCCCAAAATGTGAAATAATTGTATGTTAAAGCACCAATTTTGTAATCTTTAAAAGGTGGGAAAAAGTACAAACATGATTAAATAAAAACAGCAGCAAGTCTGTACACATACAAATAAACCAATTAAAGCTGATTTCTGAGTTAAAAAGTACTTTAGTTTCTTTACACCGCTGACTATAAGCTTTATAAAGAGTCACTAAAACAGGCTAACCGTTAGCTTAGCTTTTATCGGTCACCTAATCTCTTCATTTTAACGGATAACGGGGATTAACGGGTGAAGTTTAACGTTAGTGTCGGTACCAGAGAGAAGACAGTAATGGTAACATCCCGTCTGCTGGAGCTCAGCATCCTCTTAGTTTATCACTTTGACGCAGAAACAGCGACAGAGGGTGTTTCTCAATGTCAAGGAAGGCTCCTCCACTATTTCAAGGATGCTACGTCATCGAGTCCCGCCGAAGGACTTTGCCTCTGTTGTTGATATTTGTGGTTTCTGCTACAATGTGCACCAATATGTGTAAAAAAGGTTTGCAGACATCAAGTATGATATATGAATGGAAAGGATGTACAGAAACACTTCTTTGGAAAACTATGAGAATGAAGAAAGGTGATTGAAGATGAGAAATGTATGTACATTTATAAATGTAAATATGTAAAAATGTAAGTAGGAATAACTTGCAGAAATGATTTAAAGGATAATCATTGATCAGCAGTAAGTAAGGGGTGGGAATTATAAGCATCTGCTTTCTCCTGCTCTCTTTGGACACATAGGATTTATTATTATTATTATTATGAATATTGATGAATACTGTATTCTAATAATAGGGTATTCTGTTTTTCACATTTGTTATTTTTTATTTGTTTTTTAATCTGTTCGAAATAAAGATGGAAATGAAAAATGAAATGAAATACACATTGTATTATTGATTGGTGATTTTATGATTTTCTTATGGCTGCTTATCCTCCAGGACTTTTTCAAGGCTGCAAATAGAAGGAGAACGTGTTATGTTAGTTGAGTCAGCAGAGGCACAGTAAACGGCAGTGGAGGCAGGAAGCTGGCTGGCACGGAGACGTCAGGGACAGGAGGCAAAAATCCAGGCGAAGAGATCACAGGGACGAGGAGAGCAGCGAGACACACCGGAGGGTCGAACACAAAGGAATGATCTGGCAGGGAAGTGGCATGAGGACCGGGCTTTTATATCAACAGGTGAAGAGGTGGGTGGAAACAGGTGTACCTCGTCTGCTACTGGGAGGAACCAGCCAACTCCCTGTCACACACCAGCCCTGCAGAGGAAAACAGAGAAGGGGGGGGGGAGACAGAAGAAAACACAACAAAAGCACACAACAAAACCAAAACTAAATACAGTATCATTATATTGAATAGCAACGGACTGCATACACTACCTTGTGGAGTACCATTCTCCACAGCATAAACACTTTTCTGCACCTATACTCTTACTTGGATTTTTCTGTCCACTAAAAAATTCATAACCCAATGATATGCTTTACCACCAATTCCCAATGATTTTAACTTCCTTGATTAGTAGTCCTTCCTTCCAGAGCATGTCATAAGCCTTTTCAATAGAGAGGCGAAGTCCCTCCCTTTCCGGGGGAGCTCCATGGGACCTTATTTCGGAAAAATTATGTATTAAAGTCAATGGAGAGAGAAAGATTATCTTTCGATCCCGTTTGAATTGAGCCACGAATTACACATATGATGTTTGTCAATTTAAAAGATAATTTTGGAAGTCAAAAAAATTAAAATGTGTCGTAAAACTGTGAAGTAACACTTTTTTTTGTGTGAACTCCATCTCCCGTCTCGCACCACACACCAAGACGGCCGTCACGTTGGCACGTTTCACTTCTTTCTTTCAGAATGAGGCGGAAAGTATTAAAAGAGGTGAAAATCACTCCAAGTCTGGGCATGTTGAGAGCTGTGCATACACACAAGGGGAGTTAGTCGGTTCATAA